GAGGAAATGCTCCCCCTGTGAAAGTCACTACAGTGATAGAATTCAGACTCTAGACTCCATCTCTTAGGTTCAAATCCTCTCTTTTGTTACTTAATAGCTGTCATGACCTTGGGCATTTTACTCAGCTTCTCTGTGCCCATTTTATTCCATAAGGCTAATAGCTTTTATTTGGGTTATGGTAAAGATTAATGGCTTAAGTCATGTAAAACCGTAAAAAACAGTTGGGGTAAGACAATGAAATGGAAGTTGTGACTGCCATGAGTCACTGGTACTAATGGAGGGTTTCTTAACCCTTTAGTGTCTTAGGAGAAGAAAGCACTGACAAACTGGGATTACTTTATTCTTTCCTAAACGCTTTTCTTTTCAGATTGATTATAAGTTACGGAGAAACCTAATGGCAGTGAGAAATGAGAGTAGTCAGTTTTAGGCATTTTAGTTTGGTGTAAAGACTTAGTATGAGTTGCAGTACTCATTTGCTCTTTGATGCTTTTGTATTTATTTAATCTCTGAACTTCAGCGCCATTTAGAAGTAGTAATACCTATTGGGCTTATTTTATGGGATGGGGAGGTTTAGACATGTTTTGTAAACTATACATCTTTTAAGTACTAGATGCTGTTGATGTAGATGCTGGTGGAAGTTGTCTTCTAAATGATAAGTGACTGAATATATTGTGAGATGGAGTTCTTAAGTAGGTTATTATAGTTATTAAGCAGAAGTGCCACGAAGAGATACCGTGAGATCAGAGAAAGTTAGGCCTGAAAAGGATCAAGTCTCTCGAATCTCCTCCATCACTGAGAAATCTCTATTCTACTACTAGTGAGCAATACCAGCTCTGGAATTGTGGAATCATGGAGAGAATGGTCAAGTAGAATTAGGAAACCTGAGACTCTGTCTCTGGGCTGCACTTGAGCTCATTAGTAAACAGAAGGGATAGGATGGAGTTTCTGGGAAGTCACTTCATTTCCATACATACAGCTCAGGGCCTCTTGCTTCCCATTCCAGATAGGTTTAATTGATACAGTTAATTTTTTCAGTTGATAGGGAATTTGTTTTCTGTAAACACCCCTCATTGTTCTTAGTTTTACCCTTTGGGACAACATATAACTTCTCTCTTTCAGTATATTGTTATATGAGTGCCTCTCACATTTTTTCTCCAGTCTTCACTTAATATATTTTTAACTCTCTTGCCAGGCGTTACTGGCTGCCTTAAGTGATTGATAGGGCCTTTCACATTCAATTATGAGTTCTGAGGCATTCCTGGTACATCTATCTATGCACACACGTAATGTTAATCTATGTAAGTACGTATACATATATTATGGGGTGTGTGTGCGCACTGCAGAACCTAGTTCACTGTACTCTTGTAGCCATGAAAAGCACTGAATAAGTGTTTGTTGAATTAAGTCAACAACTTAAGGTTTATCTTTTTCTAAGGGTCATGATGGTATGAACAATCTCTAACACTTACTGGGCATTTCCTGTGTGCCAGGGACTCTTCCTGCTTTAGTTAACTCCTTTAATCCTCATGACACTTCTGTGAGGTTAGTACTGTTCTTTTCATTTTATGGATGAAGAGACTGTGGCACGGAGAGTAGGTACTTCCTCAGGCTGCTTGGCCGGTAACCGGTAGAGCAGTGTACCATACGCAGGCCGACTGCCTCAGGAGCCTCTATTTCTAATTGTTGAGAGCCCTCTCTCATGCTGGCTCTGTTGAACGTTCCCTATTTTGAGTCCTGTTCCTCACTTTATGCTCCAGTTTGCATTTCATCCATTCTCTTAAAATCCAGCGTTTAGAATTGAATGCCTCTACATATGTCTTCTTGCTGACGGCTAAAATCCTCAGACAGGTTTCTCACAATTAACTGCTACAATAAATTTCCTTTATCCTGGGTTTAAACAGTTGGGGTGGTTTATTTTTAGCCTAAAAATGGAACATTTTCCTTGTTAAATTCCTTTTTCCTGGATGCCCTTAGGGAGGACTTTTGAATTTTTAATCTGTCCAACATTGTTATTTATCCTAGTTTTTTTTTTTTTTTTTTAAATTTTTTTTTTTAACGTTTATTTATTTTTGAGACAGAGAGAGACAGAGCATGAACGGGGGAGGGTCAGAGAGAGGGAGACACAGAATCTGAAACAGGCTCCGGGCTCTGAGCTTTCAGCACAGGGGCCCGATGCGGGGCTCGAACTCACGGACCGCGAGATCGTGACCTGAGCCGAAGTCGGCGCTCAACTGACTGAGCCACCCAGGCGCTCCTATTTATCCTAGTTTTGTATTACGACAGCTTTTATTTCCTTGTCTAAGTTGTAGCCTAAGGACAGGGCACTCTGTTTAGGACAGGGCAGCCTTAGTGCACCCTTTTCGGATGGAGTTTAGTCGGGTTGTTCTAACAGGGTTTTGAAACAAGTATTAAAAATTCGCTTTCACTTAATTCTTTCCATGGCAAATACACAATATCTTTTATCAATCTTACCAATCAGAGATGGTTCAGCAGCTGGTTACTTAGAAAACTTGTCATCTGGTGACAAAATTGTTTCAAAGTTGAAGGAGTTAGAAATCTACCTTTAGAGAGTTTTTACATTAAAATGAAGGCCAAATAAAGCATTCTGTGAGAAATGCTATCAAAACTTATTCTTCTCATGACATTCTTCAACATCTGTAAAACCCAAAGATCTTTTTTTCCTGCTTGAAAAGAACATAAGTCACTGTTTTAATTATTTTGGGGTGATGGCAAGTGAAATACAACCACAAGCTCCTCTTTCATTAGGCTAAATTATCACTTGTTTTCCTTTATGATAAATGTATGTCCTCTTCTATAAAATTAAAGCAGTCACAAGTAATAGCCATAGTATTATAATTTAAAGGAGTTATGTAGTCATGGATAGTTTAGTTACAGCAATACAGTTTAATAACAAACACTAAAAATACTTGGCATTAAAGTAATATTGAAGAGTATTTCTTTCAGGCATATTACTTTCATCGAGTAGTGCAATTATTTTTCCTTTTTTTAACATTACTAAACAATACTAGGGACGCGCCTGACTGGCTTATCAGTAGAGCATGCCACTCATGATCTCAGGGTCATGAGTTCACGCCCCACGTAGAGTGTGGAGCCTACTTAAAAAAACAAAAAAATGAGTAAACAATACTAAAGTGTGCATCTTAGCATGCAGTTTTAATGTTTATGCTTTTGAAACTTAGAAGTTCTGTAGAAAAGGTGATTTTTGTTTTCATTATGATTAAACCCCTGTTTTTTAGTGATTGTGTGAAGTTATAGTACTTGGAAACTGTTGAACTAGTTTGCATTCTTTATTTTCAACTGATTGTGTATCAAATTGAAAAACTAACCAGCTAACCATCCTGTTATGTAATTCATATTTTTCATCTTGTTCAGAAAGACTTTATGCCAGACTGTTAAACACTTGTCCCCAAAAGAGGATTCTGAGTTTTTAATACAAACCTGTTCAAACGCCACATCATCTCTAAGGACCTTTTTTAGTTACAAGATTTTAAAGTACAGTTTCTTCTCCTTTGTGCTATCTTTGGGTTCTCAGATAACTGGTTTTAGTTCCATAAAATTGTAGCACATTACATTTCAAATAATTGTTGTTATTAAAATGTTCTATACACTTAAATGGACCATTTTTCTTTCTTTTACAGTGGTGGCTGAATACCTTTTTAGAAGAGTTTTTCATCTTGGGGATTGGTGAATAAGTGAGGATTTGAGAAGCTCATGGAGTAAAAATCTGTCTATATGTTTTGTGTTTTTCTTTCTTTTTTTGCCTTCCAAGATGTTTTGTATTTGTAAATTAAAACAATTTCAAAATAAAAACAGGCTTATCTTTTTTCCATCATAGATATTTATCAAATTTGATAGGAGATAATGGGTTCTTTTTTTTTTTTCCTAAAGTTTATTTATTTTTAGGAGAAAGCGCAAACAGTGGAGGGGCAGAGAGGTAGGGAGAGAGAGAATCCCAATCAGGCTCCATATTGTCCTCCCAGAGCCTGAGGCGGGGGTTTATCCCACAACTCTGGGATCATGACCTGAGCTGGTATCAAGAGCCGGACGGACGCTCAACTGACTGAGCCAGTCAGGCGCCCCGGAAATAATGGATTCTTTTCCCTCCCTCCCTTCTTACTTTCCTTCCTTCCATCCTTCATGTTTTGACTTATAGGAGAAATTAAAGTGATGTACCATAATTTCTGAGTGCACCTCTCTCAGATAAACATTTTCCTATCATGGAAGAAGAAACAAAGTAAAGGATAGTAAAGGTAGTGAAAGAATTCGAGGATAGGGTAGGAGTTTTGTCCTTAAGCACTCAGAATATAAGCAGGTAGAGCAATAGAAGTGTAGGTGCTACTTGGAATATTTTCCTGAAAATAATGGTGGAAACTTCAGTGTGAGAGGCCCTCTTCAGACAAACTGGTCACACTGTCATAAACATTGGAGTTCTGAGTTTTGTGAAGGATCCACTGATAATTGAATGTAAGATAAAAAGTGGCCCTATTTTCTTTCCCCTTTAAAACACAATAGTAATAAGCTAGTGAGATAGTTTATTCCCCTTTTAAAAAAGGTTTGTTTGTATGTTTGTTTGCTTTTTAAGATTATTTTGAGAGAGGAGAGAAGAATCCCAAGCCGGTTCGGTGCTGTCAGCATGGAGCCTGAAGTGGGGCCCGCTTTAAAAAAAGTTTTATTAATCTGTTCAGTGTTTAGTTACTGAATTTTATTTCCCAAGTTCTATATGTTCTTAATAAATTGGTTAGTAGCACTGAGAAATGTATAGAATTGTTGAATCATTATATCGTATATCTGAAACGTAACTATGTTAATTATACTTGAACTAAATGTTTTTAATTGATTAGCAGCACATATTTGATAAATGTCCTCTGATTCTTCTTTTGTTTCTTTTTTTTAAGTTTATTTATTTCAAGAGATAGCACGAATGGGGGAACGACAGAGAGAGAGAGAATCCCAAGCAGGCTCAGTGCTGTCAGCACAGAGCCTGAAGCAAGGCTTGAACTCATGAAACCATGAGATCATGACCCGAGCCCAAACCAAGAGTCAGGCGCCTAACCGGCTGAGCCACCCAAGCATCCCATGTCCTCTGATTCTTCTTGAATAAGGTAGGCAGGGGTCTAACTGGTAAGGTTGGGCAATATTCCTCATTTTTGGAATCCATGGTGCAGAGAGCAAGGTCTTTCATAGTGATGGTAACATATTTTCTGCCTATATTTGAAATGCCAATAAGTATTTCAGTTTTGAATGAATTGTCCTCAAGGAAATAAAAATACAGCCTTGGCCATCTATAATCTTAGGGAGTCCATATAGCCACATTTTACAGATACTTCGCTCCTTAAAGACCAAAAGTCTGTGTGTGTATGTGTGTGTGTGTGTGTATGTACGTGCACATGTGTACATGTATATATGCATATGCATATGTGTATATATGTATACATAAACCTGCATATATTTGTACACATACATGTACATGTGCACATAATACATATAAAGTATGGACAAATTCTAAAGCGTAGACTTTCTTTGCTTCTGGCGAATGTGTATATTTTCTTCTAGGATAAGATAATTCTGGACCTTAGTATATTCATTCTTGATATAATTATGAATCCCTATTTATAGTGTGTATTTTGGCTGTTCACTTTTTATTTTGCTGACTTGCTGGTTCTTGACACATGGATAGGTAATGTACTACATACATATGTTTATACATGTAAAATGAAAGCTGACCAGTAATGTGAAAGAACAGAATAACCATACTCAACAATGAATCTTATATAGGAAAAATAAATAGATTTTTCTTATTCACCATGTAAGTATATCTAAGAGCTGGTGCATTTGTGTTTTAAAGGGTGGCTCAGTTGGTTAAGCATCCGACTTCTGCTCAGGTCATGATCTCATGGTTCGTGAATTCTAGCCCCACATTTGGCTCTGCTGACAGCTCAGAGTCTGGAGCCTGTTTCGGATTCTGTGGCTCCCTCTCTTTCTGCCCCTCCCCTGCTCACACTCTGTCTCTCTTTAAAAACTAAATAAACATTTAAAAAAAAATACAAAAATTATGTTCCCTTGGGTCCTCCCCTTAGAGATTGATTCAGTAGGTCTGGCTCAGCCTGAGAATTTGCATTTCTGTCTCCCTGCTGATGGCTGCTGGTACATGGACCACACTTTGAGTGTCAAGTTTTCTACAGTTCTTAGTGGTTTTGGGGTACCTGGGTGGCTCAGTCAGTTGAGGATTCAACTTTGGCTCAGGTCATTATCTCATGGTTTGTGAGTTTGAGCCCCACGCTGGGCTGTCTGCTGTCAGTGCAAAGCCCCCCTTCAGATCCTCTGTCTACCCCCACTTTGCACCTCCCCCACTTGCACTCTCTCTCTCAAAAATAAACATTTAAAAAAATAAAATAAGGTTCTTAATATTTTTTCTTTTTTTTAAAGATTTTATTTTTATTTATTTATTTTTAAGAGAGAGACCGAGTGCAAGTGAGGGAGGGGCAGAGAGAGAGGGAGACACAGAATCCAAAGAAGGCTCCAGGCTCTGAGCTGTCAGCACACAGCCCGATGCAGGGCTCGGCCTCACAAACCATGAGATCATGACCTGAGCCGAAGTCGGGCGCTCAACTGACTGAGCCACCCAGGTGCCCCTAGAGATTTTATTTTTAAGTAATCTTTACACCAACGTGGGGCTTGAGCTTACGACTCTGAGATCAAGTCACATGCTCTACTGACTCAGCCAGCCAGCCAGCGATCCCCCAGAATTTTTAATGGTTTTGTGTTGTTTAAATACTTACAGCAAAATATAAGAATGTCCCTTTTGTAGTTGTTCTGCAATTCTCATGAACCCCTATGCCTTAAAGCAAGTGCTCAGCCACCTGGTCCACTAGACTAACCACAAAAAGTCAACAGAAAAATACACATCAAGGAGGAGACAGAAATAAATAGTCCAGACAGCATGGCAGAGCCTTGATGGAAGGGTAGCAAATAAAGCATGGTTCCTTTTCCAATTGCTTTGTTACTGCTGGAAAGGAGTGTTTTACTCCAGAATCTTTCCTTCTTGGGCTATTTGTCTCATTTTGTTAGGAAGGTTCTACTTGGAAAGGGTGGTATTTGATTTAGCCTGAGTGCTGGAGGCATCACTGTACTTTGTGTTTGAAGGAGTGCCTTATGCCAGAAAGCATTAGAGCTGAATTCTACCTCTGATGGTACACTCTGGTCATAATTTTGTGTGCTAGAGACAGTCTTCTGGGTAGATTTCCTGATGCTTCCGATTTTCTGAGGCTTTTTGTTGTCCCATTTTCTGAGGCTCATTCTACCTCAACCCTTTCGCATTCCATAGCCATGCTTACAGTCATGTGTTCGCTTGTCTCCCACATGATCTTCCAGCCCCTAATCGACCTTGTTGTTTTTGTTTATCTTAGTCAACATTGATTATAGCATTGTTTGTGGGCTTTTGAGAAGGTTCTGAGAATGTCTTGATACCATGACTTAGTAAAGTTCATTGCAAAAGGACATTGGTCGCTTCACTAATTACAAATTAATAAAAATGTATTTGCATTCTCCTCCTACCAAACCTTTGTTGAATTTCTAAAGGAATAGTATCACAAATGTTGACTCACTAGTGGAGGTTGGAACATAGCTTTGTAGGATTGATGATACTTATATAAGGCCTTACAGTTTTCAAACTACTCCTTAGTTGATCTTCATAATAGCCCTATGGCAAGTAACGTAGATATTGTATTCTCCAAAAACATATCCACAGCTTACTCCTCACCCCTCCACTGCCACCACACCATCACACCTGGCTATTTTTCTTTACTGTCTGCCCCACTAAAATAGTGCCAGGAAGGAGACATTTTGTCTGACTAGTTTATTACCAAATCCCAAGTACCTGCCTACAGTAGCCACTCTCCTCGTTACATGAAGGAAACGGAAGTGTTGTATACATTGCCGGTTTAATAATTTCTTGTTTGTAAGGGCAACATAGAACAGGATCATTTCCATCACTGGCCTAGTAGAGGGCACAAAGCAAATCCTCAACTCCTCTGGTCAGAGTAACCCAGTATCAAAATAAATACACACATATGTGTATGTGCGTGTATTGGTTTTTGATTTCGGAATACACACACACATTAGTGTTCTTTATATGCCTGCATCGTGGTCTTGATCTGCGCACTTCTTAGCTTTTCAGCTTGGAACAGTAGTCATTCTGGGCTTTTAACCTGCCGTGCCTTCTTTCCCCTCTCTGCCAATGGCCTATATGGAAAATCATTTCCTTCTCCATCAATGATTTAGTAATCTCTCTTGTATCTCCATATGGCAATGCAATTTATGTTTTTTTCAGATGTGATTACATTTTGTCAGCATCAGTACAATTTATAAGGTACTTTCTGCTGCTTTAAAGGCCACAATAACACACTGGAGGCCACCTCCAGTCTTGACAGAGGACTAGCCAGCCTTGAAAGAAAGCAAATGGGTGTAAAACTGACCAGGGTAGCACTCTCTTTTCTAGAATATTTTCGAGGCCTTGTGAACCAAACCAAACAAAAATCTAGATGGGAGGACCAGAAAAACCAGCCAGTTCTTTCAGCTCTTCTGGTATTCTAAGTGTAATGGCCAGAAAAGGCCCTGCCCCTCCCCGTAGTAAGAAGACTGTTACCCCTTATAGATGTGAAAGGGCTTTGAAAGTTAAACTGTATAGATGTGAAAGAGATTGTGTCATTTCTGTGTGT